CCTACCTCCACACACACACCTACCTCCACACACACACAGACACCTACCTCCACACACACACACAGACACCTACCTCCACACACACACACAGACACCTACCTCCACACACACAGACGCCTACCTCCACACACACACACAGACACCTACCTCCACACACACACACAGACACCTACCTCCACACACATGCGCTGGCATTGGACTTGCACAGTCACCAGCAGCAGCAGCCACAACCAGCACCACCGGCCAGCCATACTGTCTTCTCAAGCGGGCGAATCTAAATAGAATTGTCTTCAGTCTAAACAATAAACAACAACAAAACCCCCACCCTCCCAAAGGCTAAACAAAAGAAGACGCGCCAATCAGCTGCGCTGGCGGTGTGTGTGTGTGCAGTTGCGAGATGCTGTGTGGGATGCTCGGTGGGGCGCTCACGCCTAAGAGCGGCTCGCGCTGGGACCCGCCCACCCCCCGTGACGTCAATATCACACTCCGCCCACCCGCCCGCAAGCATGGAGATGATTGACAGACAGGATGATGATATTCTGTATTTAGACTGTAGCAGGAGGAATCCGGTGAGCTATGAAGCTCTTTTTCACAGATGTCCAGCGAGGCGCGGCTCAGGACGGTGCAAGAACAAACTAAATAAAAACACGAGTGCAAAGTATAGGAAAGGTGAACATCACAACGGACGAAGGTTAGAATATACACAATAGGTTTTTTTTCTCCAGAAAAATAGGATTTTTTTGTAAATATATAGTTGCAATTACACAGTATGTGCAAGAACAAAACACAATGTATCCCTTTCCTGAAAATAGGGCATCCGTGTGTAGAGGGGACCATCATCAGGGCTGGAAATGTGAAGAAATTAGTGGGGGAAGGAAATCATCAAGCTCCTCCACCTCCTCCACCTTCCCCCTCCACCTCCTCCACCTTCCCCCTCCACCTCTCCCCACCACCTCCCTCCTCAATCTCCCCCCCAAATCTTCCCCTTACACCTCCCCCGCTATATCTGTCGTCTCAATGCAGTCACTCCGGCTTGTATGGCTGAATCACTTTCTATCACCAAGTCAAATGTCTTTTCATGGTCTATATTTCCGGCTGGAGATGGATCGTGATGACAGTTCCACTTTGAAGCACGCATGGTTCGCTCAGAAATGATAGTTTAGCGTGAGCTGTGTTTTTAAACCCCTAACTGTGACCGTAACGCTCATTCTCACGTTAAGTTTAATAATAGCTCCACTGTTCTGGCCCGTGCATTAGTAGCTGATGATAAAGATATTTCTGCCACGTGTCGCTGTTTCGCCTCTGTGTTCATCGGCAGCGGTGAGGCTATCCAGATCTTAATTAAATCCCTCACCACTGGGTGTTCATCTCTCAACCTGCAGATTAACATACGCCCATAGGTCTGTGGTGCGTCATTAAGTTATTACATTTTGTTTATATATAGAAAAAATACAGCATTCCGCTTAGGCTGTCATGTCATCTGAAATGTTGCCAACCTCCTAAAGCCCTCACTGTTTATGTAAACCTTTTTAAAATATACTTTATGTAACACAATGGTAAGGAGCGTGTATTTTAAAATGCAATTACCAAAGCCTGCTGGACACCGTAAAAAGCTAGATATTCCATCTGAATGGACTATTCAGTAACACTATTGAAATAAACACATTTCATTAGAAAAACCTTGTTTTAAATTGCAGAGTGAACTTTAAAGACCAAGTTACATAATTGGCAAGAGTAATATGTCAGCAGGGGCGGGGCCACGGGGGGAGGGGGCTGGGGGGTCTAAGCCCCCCTGATATTTTGGGAAAGTCGGTAATCGTGATAACCGGATCTCTGGCTGGAGTAAAATTCTGCAGGCTGCCACCTCGTGCTGCTGCCCTGCAGGCTGCCACCTTGTGCTGTCCTGCAGGCTGCTTGAGCGGCAGCCTTTCGAACTTATCAAAATTATTAGCCACAACAGCGGCTCCAACCTATTAATAAACTCCGCGTTCAAATCCAATAAAATTTGTTTTATACATTTGTAGCGCCCATTGGAAAATATACACTGGATATCTCAGAATATTGAATACAGCCCCCCCAAGTCAAAATCCTGGCTCCGCCCCTGGATGTCAACATGTGCTGGTTTTATATGCCAAAATTACATCTCATTATTGTATCTGCAAATAATTTGCTGAGATAAAAAATGACAACAGCACCCGTGCATCGACTGTTGCAACGAGAAGTAGCAAACATTCATGGCCCCCTTATCATGGAAATGTAAATCATAAATGCAGGATAAGATGAGGTGCTAGGGTTAGCCATGAGGGTTCAGGGACAATTACTTGCGTGCGTCTCAATGCTAAAAGGGGAGCTTTACATCTGGCCTAAGAGCTACGGTTTACAAAAGTAGGATGTTTCCATAAGAACGAGTGTAAGCGTTAGGCGTTAATGCAGACATACAATTACACCTGGGATGTTATTAAGGGGTTGGAGATGGTGAGGCAGGGTGCTTTGTGGTATGCTGCAAGCATAACCTGCGGGTTTGACGAATCATACAGAGCATAGTACCTGGCCAACAAAAACAAACACCCACCTTATAGCCTTAACAGACTGTTGGGGCAAGTGCTGTTAGCGAGCAACTATGAATGCCGGACGATACACGAAGTAGGTGGGTAGCCAGCACCACTCACGATCGCCTTTGTCCTTCGCGTAGCGATGTTTATACACCACACCAGGTACTCACTTAAGGCCGAATCGACCTAGGGGAGGCCCAGTACCGGTTTAAAAAATCGCCACTGGTGTTGGCCTTGAGCAGGAGTCGAACTGGGGACGCCGGGTTCATAGCGCAGCGTAGCGCTAACAACTACACTACCGCTCTCTCCAGCGCTAAAACACACACTCACAAACACGTACGTCCACATTCACCACGAGGTAAGCATATATCGATTAAACTCATAGCAATTATTCAGCTCACATTATATTCATAAAATCGTGCGTATGACGATTTTACAATTTAAACAAATTATACGCTGATGCATGCATGATGGGACAGTGTCGTGGTGGAATGGTTTGCATGCTGGGCTCGCATTTCAGAGGTTGCTGGTTCTATGAGAGACGGACGCTTCTTAAATCCCACACCTCTTCTTCTTTGGTTCTTTCGGTAAAGTCACTCAGCAGTATAAATGGGTACACCACAATTACTAAATCCTTAGATCATGTGTGGTGGGGTAAAGTGTGAGAACTAGTCGCGGCCCCCACTAACTCCTCCCTATTCCAAGTCGTGCGGTCAGTGTGGAAGATTCGACCAAATGTTTCCACTATGAGAGCCCCACCTGCAGTTATGAGTGGGACTCGATGTCATGAACTCGATTTTTTAAATTAACTCTTTCGCAGCTCGTCCCATCTTCTCTCGCGTGAATTTGATATTTCACGTGACCAAATGTATTCAAATGTGGTAACGATGAGAAGAGGATTATGATTGGGCAGGCTGGAAACCAAACTCATGTTTTGTTTGCGAGCCACACAGACGATAAGTGATGTGTCTGCTGCCATCTAGTGGCACATTTATGAAAATAAAAATTATTTCAGCACCAGGGTAATTTCCTCTTTCTGCAACTTTTAGCCAAAAATCAAGTTGGCCAAGTTTACACAATTAATACAACAATAAAGTGGCTAGCTGGAAGGGCATGTACTGTTGAAAAACACCTTGCTGTGAAAGGAATAAAGGCTTATCTGATACTCAGTAGCCGCTTGTAGATTAACGTGCTTATAATCCAAACTAACAACTGTAACGAGACATTGATTTATTGATTCAAGTACATGTTACATATGTGCAACAATAAAATAGCGTGCGAGTCCAGGCACGTGCTGTGGGTGGAGGACTTTTGAACTCAAACTTTCACAGCTTGCATGTTCTCAACTGTACATCACCCTGCATGCAACCAGACACTATTTTATTTGTTAATTTAGTAAACTTGATCAGTTTTATTTTCTGTAAAAAAAACCCCGAATACGTGTCTCCAATATTTATATTTTCTAGACTTTGCCACGAGATAGCACTAAATATCAGCAGACATATCACGTGGATGGCCTGTAATGGCCACTGTTTGTGTAACTACTCAATGCCTAAATTTTGATTTAAAGCTTTCGTGACTGCAGTAATTCATATTCTTAGCTCTTTCGGTAAAGTCACGTTGAAGGGAAACAATAAAATAATAAATATATAAAACAATAAAAATTCTCACGACGTTTCGACCATAACACAAACGGTCGTCATCAGGTGTGAAAAAAACAACGGCAAGAAACATTTGAAAGTGGCGGACTGTATTATTTATTTATTTTTAAACGGTGTATTTACTTATTTATAAATAACGTCAGCGCCACGCGCAGCGATTTAACAGTTTATTTAGAAGGACGAGTCCATCTATGTTCTGAAAAGAGGAGGGGGAGACGAAAAATTAATGTATGCTGTCTGAAAGCCACCGTAAGCGTGAACAATCAATTAAGACCTGAAATGGTATATGAAATCCTTCCAATGATTGCTAAGCCAGAATCCATCTTCTCGGTTGAAATTGTCTCTGTGCTTGTATATGTGGATAGCCTCATGAACGAATCTCTCATGGTAGCCAGATGGCTTTACCGAAAGAGCTAAGAATACTCAATGCCTATTTAAAACTGATCTTCAGAGATTAAAAAAACTTAATTCCCATCAGGCCGCGTTGTCTAAAGACCCGAAAGAGTGGTCTACAATAATCTTTAATTAGTCAGCAAGACGCCAAAGCAGGTGTGCTAATTACATAATAAAGTGACGCAACGGCCTCTAACGTCACAAAGTAAAGACGTGCCCCGTCAGGACATGACGTTCCAATCCGGACGCACGGAGCTTGATGCCGCTCGATGACGTCACCGCGCTCGCCTCGCGCGCCGCTCCGCTGCAGAGGACGCAAACACTCGCCGATGACGTCATCGCGCACGCGCGGCCGTCAATGAGAGTGGATGCAAAATGTGTCGGTGGGGAGCGGTAGCGCCACGAACCTGGCCACCCGAGTTCGATTCCCGCTCACAGGCCCACACCAGTGACGATTATCTGAACCGATCTCATGGGCCTCCCAATACCAACACGACCGTCATTCGCCACCGAGTGACGGTGACGTCACCGTTATTCGCCACCGAGTGACGGTGACGTCACCACGCCGCCAGTGCCATGCCAGGTGGACTTGAAGCCACCGACTCGGCCTCAAACGAGCACCTGGCGCGCGGTGTGTGAACATCCTAGGGGGGGGGGACAAAGACGGCCGGGCGTGGTGTTGGCCACCCACCCCCCTCGCGTGCCGTGCCGGCATCCACAGGCGCTGCTCTCTGTTACAGGCGACACGACGGGGCGGCGGCGGCGGGGAGGGCATCTTTGTTTTTTCGCTATGCAAATGTTGCGTGACGTCAGCACGCGATGACGTGGCGCCGCGGGGCTTGTTTACGCCATGTTCTTTTGCCGTGCCCCGACTCACGAGAAGCAGCAGCGGCAGCAGTGGCAGCAGCAGCAGGAGGTGGTGGAGGTGGAGGAGGCGGCGCCGCCTCGCGACCCCAGCAACGACGACACTCGACCGTTGTGTCACAACGACGACAACAGCAGCAGCGGCAGCCGCAGCCGCTAGTCAATGCCATTGACCCCCCCGCGGCTGGAGTAACGAGGTGGGTTTATAGTGGCTGAGGCCTAGCGTTTAAAAAAATAACTCTTTGACCACGTTTATCAAGTTTCAATTCGATTCACAGTTTCCTGTGGTAATGTCGGTGTGTGTGTGTTGACAGTCTTGTTCCGCTTGTAAATCATTATTATTTCAGCCGTTTGAGTCCGCTCCGCGCGCACTGTGTCGTGAACTGGGGCCCGGCTTCTCACAGCAGCAGCAGCAGTAGCGATCGTAGCCGCTGAGGGGACATTGAGCAGCAGCAGTAGCAGCAGCAGCAGGCAAGCGGCGGCGGCGTTGTTGTTGCTTCGCTGCCAAACAGACACTGGATGCCGATACCGAGTCAGAGATTGCTTGTATTGAGCCAAATCCTGCTGATAAGATTCGCTCCCCAGCAGTGCCGTGTGGCTGATGGAATGTGTACACGATATTGTTATTACGTGGAGATACAAATATGTGAAATATGCATGTCTGCATATTTATAGCGTTATTTATTGTAGTTACATATAGGAATTCCTTGCAGAGTCAAGGAGCAAAAATGCGAGTTTTCCAGCTTTTTTCTTTGGCAGTGATGAGCTCTTGTCTTCTACACAGTGCATCACTGTACTGACTGGTTATGTATAACATCTCGCTGATTAAATTTTGATTTAAAGCTTTCGTGACTGCAGGGATTCATATTCTTGGTTCTTTCGGTAAAGTCATGTAGAAGGGAAACAATAAAATATATTTTTTTAAATACCGAAAGAACCAAGAATATCTCGCTGATTATGCAATGTGATTATGGGTACTATGTAAAGGCGCAGCCCTGCAATGGCTCGCTCGCCTCTTGTGGTGGAAGGGCTCCCACAAGAGGGAGCTCTTGACAGTGGTTTGGCCGACTCGCACGCTGGTCCAAACGTGTTGCAGCAAAGGTGATGTTGATTAAATGCCATCAACGTTACTGCAATTCACGTATTCTAATTAATTGTTTATGGTGTTATTTGTTTTAAACATTCTTGCAGTTCACTGTTATTACAGTGTTATGGTTATTAAATAGTGTAGTTCACTTGTACCAAATTGCACTTCTATTTAATCAAAGTTTTCACTTATTGGTGCTATTACTAGATTAAATCTTACAATTCACTGCAGGGCAATCTAACGAGATGAGTTATTTTAGTTATTAAATGTTGGTTTAAGTTGGATGGTACTTTAGGAGACAATGCTATTGTGGAGTGTTTACGCTGTGGTTCATGATGCAGATGTTGGATCTTTTTAAACGGCAAAGGTTTGATTTTAAATGGATTGTTTCAAACTTATAAACCACGAGAATATAATTAACGGGATTGAGTTATTTTTATTTTACTATACTCCACCACACTGAGCAGTTTGGGTTAGTGAAGCAGCGGAGCATAGGAGGTCGCTACAACATTGACATTTTTCTGCACTACCCTCTGCTGCCAATCACGTCAACATATACAGTGTAGACAAATATTACGGCAGTATTAGTCATTGCCCTATGTGTGTACGTTTTCCAGCAGCAGCTGTCAAAGCAGGACAACTACAGTGAGGGGAAAAAAGCATTTGATCCCCTGCTGATTTTGTACGTTTGCCCACTGACAAAGAAATGATCAGTCTATAATTTTAATGGTAGGTTTATTTGGACAGTGAGAGACAGAATAACAACAAAAATCCAGAAAAACGCATGTCAAAAATGTTATAAATTGATTTGCATTTTAATGAGGGAAATAAGTATTTGAGCCCCTCTCAATCAGAAAGATTTCTGGCTCCCAGTTATCTTTTATACAGGTAACGAGCTGAGATTAGGAGCACACTCTTAAAGGGAGTGCTCCTAATCTCAGCTTGTTACCTGTATAAAATACACCTGTCCACAGAAGCAATCAATCAGATTCCAAACTCTCCACCATGGGCAAGACCAAAGAGCTCTCCAAGGATGTCAGGGACAAGATTGTAGACCTACACAATGCTGGAATGGGCTACAAGACCATTGCCAAGCAGCTTGGTGAGAAGGTGACAACAGTTGGTGCGATTATTCGCAAATGGGAGAAACACAAAAGAACTCAATCTCCCTCGGTCTGGGGCTCCATGCAAGATCTCACCTCGTGGAGTTGCAATGATCATGAGAACGGTGAGGAATCAGCCCAGAACTACACGGGAGGATCTTTTCAATGATCTCAAGGCAGCTGGGACCATAGTCACCAATAAAACAATTGGTAACACTACGCCGTGAAGGACTGAAATCCTGCAGCGCCCGCAAGGTCCCCCTGCTCAAGAAAGCACATATACATGCTCGTCTGAAGTTTGCCAATGAACATCTGAATGATTCAGAGGACAACTGGGTGAAAGTGTTGTGGTCAGATGAGACAAAAATGGAGCTCTTTGGCATCAACTCAACTCGCCGTGTTTGGATGAGGAGGAATGCTGCCTATGACCCCAAGAACACCATCCCCACCGTAAAACATAGAGGTGGAAACATTATGCTTTGGAGGTGTTTTTCTGCTAAGAGGATAGGACAACTTCACCGCATCAAAGGGACGATGGACGGGGCCATGTACCGTCAGATCTTGGGTGAGAACCTCCTTCCCTCAGCCAGGGCATTGAAAATGGGTCGTGGATGGGTATTCCTGCATGACAATGACCCAAAACACACGGCCAAGGCAACAAAGGAGTGACTCAAGAAGAAGCACATTAAGGTCCTGGAGTGGCCTAGCCAGTCTCCAGACCTTAATCCCATCGAAAATCTGTGGAGGGAGCTGAAGGTTCGAGTTGCCAAACGTCAGCCACAAAACCTTAATGACTTGGAGAAGATCTGCAAAGAGGAGTGGGACAAAATCCCTCCTGAGATGTGTGCAAATCTGGTGGCCAAGTACAAGAAACGTCTGACCTCTGTGATTGCCAACAAGGGTTTTGCCACCAAGTACTAAGTCATGTTTTGCAGAGGGGTCAAATACTTATTTCCCTCATTAAAATGTCAATCAATTAATAACATTTTTGACATGCGTTTTTCCGGATTTTTTTGTTGTTATTCTGTCTCTCACTGTTCAAATAAACCTACCATTAAAATTATAGACTGATCATTTCTTTGTCAGTGGGCAAACGTACAAAATCAGCATGGGATCAAATACTTTATTCCCTCACTGTACGGGCCGGTTTTAACTTTCACATCCTCATCAGCAATAACGTGTGCCTTTCAAGGAGGTTTTTTTGTCTAGTGATATTGACTCCGTGGTAAAAGCTCAACACGTTAACCTTGGGGGGAGGTGTTTATCTACATGCGTGTTTTGACAACGCACTGTCGTTAAAAATGTAAGTTGGTACCCTTAAAAATGACAGATTGTCCCTTTAACGTTGCTAAATGGAGGTCATTTAAAAAGCTCTTTGCCTGGGTGATTTAAACGGATTACTTGTGGGTCTTAACTGAGTTGTAGCATTTAAAGAGGACATGCATTAGGCGTTTAAGGTAACTGCTTGGCGTTTAGACGGGGTATGTTTTGTTCACTTTAATCTCCAAATTTATGGTCATTTAGCATGTGTGTACATTTAAACAAAACTCATGTCATTTGAAAGAAAGGCATTCCGAGTAATCTTGACAATTCTAGGTAAGATATGATGTGTTGTATTTGTAGTTTATAACTGGAGTTTCTTCACGTGCTGGGGACATCTTTCGCACGTGGAGTGAGCCGTCAAACACCATGCCGACCAATACGTGGTACAACCTAAAAAAACATCGGAGGGCCATATGCACAACTGCAAAAAAACCTATGCACTGGTGGTTGTTATTGTTGATCACAGACACTGGATAAAGTATAACACTTAAGATTTAGCAGCCGTCGCGGACGGGCACGGCAATAACATCGCTCTCCGCTTTCTCGTCACGTGCAGGGTGCCGGCGGGGCACGCAGGCGCTTAACTCGCAGCCCGCCGGAGCGTGAAGTGTCGCCGCTGCGGTTTTGATGTGCGTGGCGTGGTGCTCGAGGCCGGCAGTGCACACCGGTGAGGAGGCGTTTATCGTCGTCCCAACGCCGCCGCCGCGAGCCGGAACACGATCCGGTGCCCTTGTGCCGAGCGTGTCACCGCGACTGGTGCCGGTCGCCCGGGACACCGGCCCATGCTCCCGGGCGGCGCATGGCGGCGTAGAGCGCGATGTGCCGGGGGGGGGCGGCGCTGGGGGCCATGGAGGGCACGGGGAGCACGCGCAGGGAAGTGCTGCTGGAGCCCTTCGTGCACCAGGTGGGCGGCCACTCAAGCATGATGAAGTTTGACGACGACACCATCTGCAAGCCGCTGATCGCGCGCGAGCAACGCTTCTACGAGTCGCTGCCGCAGGAGATGAAGGAGTTCACGCCGCTATACAAAGGTAACGGGGCTCCTCGTCATCTCAGATGTGGGAAGCAAAGCGGGGTTGAGCCTGTGGATAGTGCCTTGAAAGTGCAGTCGCCATGCAGCAGTTATGGGTTGCGGGGCTACGTGGTGAATGGCTGAGGGCAGTGCAGCACAATCCACTGTTGTGCTGTACTTTGCTCCCCCGCCTATATTCCACGTACACTATCTTCTGGATACAATTTTGTATCTAAAGGAATGCTCACATTTTATAGAGCACCAGTCCCACATTTACAATATACTTATCAATTGTGAGGAAACGCAGTCATTTAGTTTACCACAGGATTTCGCGACCAATATTATTCATAATAAAAGTTTTTGGATTAGATCACGTAATTATCAATGCCAGTAAGGTGGATTTACCTTCCAACACACTGGTGGGCTGAAGTAGTAACTTATTTGCACGTTTTGTTTACGTGACAAACCTGACTGGCTGTGTGGGGTGGTGGAGGGTTACGACTGAATCATTTACTTTGCTGCACGGCTGCTCGTGCTGTGAACCGTGAAAAGAACCAGGCAGGGAAATGTTTTTCTTCGTACGATGGTCACCGTCATTCTGCGTGTATATATGTTTATAAATATACTTGTATGTTTGCTATGCTTAATTATTATGCTATGTGATGCACATTGCTAAGTTGTTTGATTAAAAAAACTACTTTGGCTTGAATAAAAAAATGGCTTTGATGACTGTTGTATTTCAGGTCACAGGATAACAAATCAGCACACTTTTAAACACCATCTGTTTATTGAAGAGAATCACAGATTTAGTTTAACCAGGATTAAGCTATGCTTTGTGTAATGCAGTTACAGTGTGGCATATTTTTAGAAACGTTAATCTTTTCATTTGCTGAGGGCCAGCAATTCCAAGTTAGTGCCATAGCACGCAATACAGTGGAGACTCGCTAATCCAGATGAATTGCGGTGGGACACTTTGTAAAAAAAATATATATCGGTGAGAACTTCGATTCACTCCCTATATGAATACCCAGCATCCATTACTGTACGCAACATTTAGAAAACAATTGAAATTGCTTTGTATAAAATATTTAGTAACAAAACTTCAACATTTGACAGGTATGTGCAGTATGTGCTTTTACGTAAGCTAATTGGGGGGGAAAATGAATGTTATTAATTCATCGTCTGATTTATTATGCGTTTGAATGCTACTCCGATTAAAGTGAAATTTGATTCAGTGAATTCTACTGCATTTGATTTCCAGCTGTATGCAATATGGTATTAGGCCGCGAATAATGTGTCCTATGTGCATTTTGCATGTTTAATATTAAAATGACATGCCGTGTTTGTGGGAATATTTGTGGGGTAATATAACCTGCCGTTCGTAAATGTTTGATACAGTTACTCTTGGAGGAGGACTTTAATGTCAACATGAATATTTGAAATGCACGTTGAGTTATGTTCTCTCGAGGTTGATTTATGTTAAATGATGCTTGTGATTTTACTGAGACACCAGGCCCTGGCGCTTGTCTACAGCACCAAGTAATGGGGGTGGGGAACCAATCCATTTATCAAAATACCGCATGGTTAGTGTATGTTGCTCCATCAAGTGTTACGAGGGGAATGCGGTTCATTAACAGGGCTTTGTAAAATCGTTGCTGACTCAAAAAACACATTTTGTAGTTTAAATGGTCCCTGATTTCCTGTCAATGTTTACACGAGCTGAGAACAACAGAATCGCAAGTTTTTAATTTTCTTCGGTTTTTAAATATAGACTTTTGGTACATACTTGAGATGGACACATGAGCTGCTTGCTGTATCTTGTGATTTATTTTCTATGCACCTTGCAAAATATGTGCTATTAACGAGTGAAACATGCTCTGAACGTGCGAACCAAAGCAATTGGTATCTTAAAATTCAGTGCTTGTGTCTTTGCAAACTTTTAATTTGTTCCTCATGATTTCTTTGAACTACAGGGAACAGAAGGTTTTTCGATTTTTCAAATGCGGTTCTGAATGTTCAGGTTATAGAGTTGTCTTTTAAAGTCAACACCGACTGCCCAGGAAATGGTGTCGAAAGTGTGCAGCTGAACAGCATGTTCGTGATTAAATCGCACAGCACTGCGCGTACTGATTAAGAGCGAGTGAAATTAATTTACGACCTCAGTGTGGCTTGTGCACTAAGGGTGTTGGACAGGCTTTTGAGGGGAGCAATTATAAGAATGTGAAGGTGGTCCTTATTTTAAGTGATGCCTTCAACGGTCTTGGTCATGGGTTGATAACTTGTGGTCCTTTATTTAACAAATGGAGTCTGCTGGAATGTGGTTTGTCCTTCGAAGGCTGTGCTCCTTCACGGAAGAAACGTAGACCAAAAATAAACATCTCAAACATACTTTGGCTGGATTTGTTAATGGATTTTTTTTTTACTTTGAATTAACAACTTAGAGTGTCATTATGGCACTTGTGTAACATTGCAAGATTTTAATTCTCTTCAGTTTACATTAATTGTTACGCACACGAATGATGTAACCGATATGTCTAAACACATCGTCAATGCAGAGGCTTCGCCAGAGCGATATGGCACTGAACTTGACCCTGATATTCATGTCCTTTGTCTCATGAAGTTTGAAGCTTGTGTTTGTCTGGGACACACAGCCTAAAGATTTATCAATCACCACTGTTTGCTTTCGGGTTGCTTCTTACATTATGCAGATAGAAATATAGTGCCTCGGTCATCGGGCATTATCCTTCACAGGTCATACGCTTTCAAGACTTGTATTCTGTTAACATTTGGCATTTTGACAATTGTTCTCGTGAAGTTGTTGAAGAAACAAGAAGTCTCTTGAATGCTTGTTTATTTTCACAGTGAGTGGATATTGACTGTCAGTACAGAATACTTCATAAAGTATGTATCAGCAATGTTACTCCCTACCAGCTTGGATAGTCATTCAAATACATTCGTGAGCAAGTGGAGAAGCTGATGAATCATTCTTTGTTTTCCACACATCTTGCAATTTCAATGTTCATTATAAACGTGGGAATGAAGCACACGAATGCAGCTGTTGTGCCTCATATGTACTCCTGCACTATAAATGTTGAAATATTTGCCTTTGATGTGCACGAAACACTTAGTCAATTCCATGGATTTTACCATTATGTTTTAATGTGGGAATATTATATGGAGTAGTGCACTTTCAATGGGATAATTGAGAAGGTGTTGGGTTTTAGTATTATTGAGATTGGCAGTGCAGAGAAAGCAGTAGTGGAGTGCATCAAAGGAAGGAAAATTATGCAAATAACACAAACTAATAATTTTAATATACAAGTCACCATTACAGTTATGCAAGCCAAAAAAGGTTAAACAAATTAACATTCACAATGCCTGTCCACGATGCCCTACTCTTGAGAAATAGGGCACGATGCAGGTGGGACCCAAATTGCCAAATCTGCGCAGTTTGCCGACCCGTTCGCTCAGCATCGCTAAAGATCTCCTCCCCCCGCCATCTCGCGTTCCCGCAGGCGTGGTGTCGGTGCACTTTGAGGAGGACAGTGACGGCTACTTCACGCTCGTCGCGCACCTTTGCTCCGAGTCGGAGCCCACGGGCGAGGCCGACGCCGGCGCCACCAGCGAGCAGCCGCGCCGCAAGCACTCGCGCCGCAGCCTGCGGCGCTCGACCAGCGGCGGCGAGCACGGCTCCGACAGGGCCTCGTCGGCGCCCGACGGCAGCGACACGAGCGAATGCTCCGTGTTCACCACTAGCGGGTGAGTCTTCTTCTTGTCGTGCGGCTGATGTCGATGCAGAGCAAACAACTACAATTTCACATTCAGGTGGTAGGACAACCGCGTCGAGAGCAGCGGGAGTAGTGTGTCGCTGTGACGTCTCCTTCGAACTTGTGGATCGGGCGTTGCGCCGTTATACGTTGTGTGGTCTGTTCTGGATGATCACAGGTGCGCACTGCTGGAGAGTTTTACGTTTTTGGGCAGGTGAGTGCACCGCCTGGAAATCCTCACACTACCTGGCCTCTTGCCAGGAGTCGTTGGTGTGCATTTTAAGTTGGCTTAAAAAGCAGGGTGAGGGATGTTATGGCTCGCGTATCAGATACAACCCTGTAACTTGATTTTGAAATGGCCTACAAACGGTATCTGTTTTTGCAAGCTTCTTCATGTTAAATATTTTATTTTGATTGGGAAATGCAATGCTTTTGTTCTGTGGGGTCCTTAAGCCCTCTGGATTACACACAGATTTTCTTATTAAGCAGTTCCGATATTGTGGTGGTTAGATTTTGGTTATTCCATTGTGTCTATATGTAAGTATAGCTTTATAAAAACAGTTATGGTGAATTGAGCAACCTGCTGACACTTAAACAAATACATTCAATGCAACGTTTCAAGTCCATAGAGTTCTATTGGAATTCCACTTTAGAGCTGTGTGCCTTCACAAATACATTTACATTTTCAGCGATGAAGGAAATACTGCTTGCAAGTGTGCCCCTGTATCTCATTGATATTCATGTCATGTGTTTGTGTGCGTTTAATTTGTGTTCACCTACGGTTTTACATATTTAAGGATTGAAATTAATACTGTGGCAATATTTACTCAGTCTTTGTAATGCTTTGTAGAGATATTTAGAAAAATAGAGGCTTCTTCACTGTACACTTCAGTGTGAGATGTCACTTAATGGGATATCAGCTACTTTTGTAGCACATTGGAAAGTCACTGTGCATCGATTTGTTCATTAAAACGAATACTTTTGCTTGCAATACATGCATTGAATCATTTATGTATAAGATGTATGTTCAAATGATATACTAATGTATTAATTACTACTGTGCAGATATAGAACAAATGAGAGGGACATTAGAAATCAGACGCAGTGCAAGCTGGTTAGACATCACAAGTGAGCCTAAACATGACAGACATTCACTGCAAGCAAGACACGACAATGGAGATTGACAATTTAAACAAGGCAAGAAATGTAAAATAGACAACGCAAGGGAGACAGACAAAACAAATGAGACCGAACAAATGAGACTGCATTCAAATGAGAAACAACAAACTTTACAGATGAAAGAGACAGCAAAAATGAGACGGAACGAATTAAACAAAACTAGTTTAACCATTGCCCTGGACCATGATAACAATTTAATCGCTGGGATGTGAATCGTTTCCCACCGAGCCCCGAAGGTACACCACCCACATTTGTTGGCTTCAGAACATTCAAGAAAATTCTTGCCAATGAATAAAATGAAACGGAGGGGGTGCCATTCCACACATCGCGAGCATGCCAACTTGTTTCCAGAATACATGCATATTTTCTGCAGCCCTGTAAGTTAAACCAGTCGACTGAGTTTATTTTAAGCATCGTTTATTGTTAACATTGTTTTGACCTTCCTGAGAATGTGTTATTAATAGGGTCCACGTCTCTCCTGTACAATATCTTGCTTCATTAGCCACGCTGTGTTTGGGTGGCTTGCGTTGATCCAGTGTATCGTTGTCTCACGGAAACGTAAAAAACTTTTTTTAATCGCCCTCTTCCTGACATATCTAATGTGCATTGTGGAGTTATTTACCATATCCAGGCGATGTCATTGCCTTTGTATTTAATACTAATGCAGCAATTCGTTTTTTTACGAATTCAATAAGTTGTGCTGCATTTGAAAAGTAACTGCGTTGTTCTGCATTTTCTAAGTTTTAGATTGTTTTGGCTCAACACTGAGTTGGCTGCAAATTAATTGCAGTTCTTTCTACTTGGCCACATTAATATTGATCAGCAGTCCCCTTCTGCTATCGTTCCCAAAAAATTGGATCCTAGTGCAATTGAATTATGGAGCCAAGTTTGTGGTGGCAGTATACATATTGCAGTTTGCAGCAGTAATACTGCATGCATCATTACTGGCATTTTTATCCGAGTTTGAGTCAGAAATTGCTAACAATGACTAATTATTACCAATAGAATTCTTGTAAGGCTTCATGTGCGTAATGATTATGGTGCTTTGTCAGTCCACTGCTGGATGAAAGCCTCTTCATGGCTATCAGCCGTCTGTTTTTTTACGACACTTCATCATGCTGATGAGTGCAGGGTTGGGGAGGCCCTAGAAGCTGTTCACACATCACTAATCACTGATATCAGCCATGGCTGAGAATTGAACTCAGCTCACCGGGTTCAGAATGCAGTATACAAACCACTGTGACAGTTCCCTTTCTTCCTGCCACTTACAAATAAATTAAAATAAATGATTCCAAGTTTATGCCATGCTTGTACATGCGCGTATACACAGAATGCAAGACCTCAAGAGCCCAAAGGTTGAGCTGCACATCCAGTCGGAGGCTCCCTTCCAAATGCTTGATGGAGGGTGCAGCTCCTCTTCCGAGAAGATCAGCTTCAACCCGTGGAGCCTGCGCTGTCACAAGAAGCAGCTGAACCGCATGCGCTCCGAGTCCAAGGACCGCAAGATGTTCAGTATCCTTCCCCATGCAACCGTGTGGAATGTGTCATCGGTGTTAATTTTATTATCGTCCTAATTTTATCCCCGTTGTGCTTTCATGAGACGAAGTATCCATTGGGGGGGTCTCTCTCGTAGAGCAGTGCAAGTCTGAGCATTCGAGAATCGCTTATGGAAGCGGATTTTACAGGGTTACCTCTTAAGTTCTCAAGTGACCTATGAACCACATAGTAGGGGCAGCACTTTCTCTGCTGCTCAGCCATATGAGATCATTTTCATCGTAGGGCAGTTATACTGATATCTTCATTAGCAGGGCTGGAATTTAACCAAATGAGTTCAGAACAAAATTTTGGGTGATTGTTTTTCTTGTGCTGATCCCAGTTAAATCACAAGCAGCTATCTATGGGACCTCCTTTGCCAGTACCAAAATATGAGAATAGGTTTTCACCTTTTTTTCTGGCAACAAAACAGGTGTTAAGATTTTGATTTAAAGCTTTCGTGACTGTAGGGATTCAAATTCTTGGTTCTTTCGGTAAAGTCATGTAGAAGGGACACAATAAAATAATAAAAATATAAAATAAAATTCTCACGACGTTTCGACTGCAACACAAGCAATCATCCTGCTGTGGTTTTCACACCTGATGATGATTGCTTTAGTTGCAGTCGAAACGTGAGAATTGTATTGTTTTCTATTTTTATTATTTTATTGTTTCCCTTCTACGTGACTTTACCGAAAGAACCAAGAATATAGGTGTTAAGATGTTAAAACACGAAACTGAAACCTTTTACAAGGAATCATGTGTGCATTAACCACAATACTTGTGGTCAGAATGCAAACAAAAAACATACTCTGATAATATGTGCATTGTCTTTGAAACTGATTGGTCCACACCAGAGACAGCTTTCTTTTGAGCCTGGTGTGAATTTTAAAGTGGTTTTTATTCAATTTAAGGTTTTTAAGGTATTGCAACAACAAAAAAATATAAAAAGCACTTAATGTTGGAATAAAACTTACGAATGAAACCCTTGTTTCCTAAAAAGCGATTGGCACAGTGACTTAAAAATTCGGGGCAAACGGTTTTTCCACCAACATCATGAGACTTGAGACGGTGCGAGGAATATAACCGTCCCGTGTAAATTGTGTTGAAGGCGGCTGGTTCCTTTAACGGCGGCACTCGCAGAGTTCCTGCTGCTGGAGAACGTCGTGTCCCAGTTCAAGCTGCCCTGCATCCTGGACCTCAAGATGGGCACGCGGCAGCACGGCGACGACGCGTCCGAGGAGAAGGCGGCTCGGCAGACACGCAAGTGCCAGCAGAGCACGTCCGCCCAGCTGGGCGTGCGCGTGTGTGGCATGCAGGCAGGTGGCCTCACGTGCGCTCTCGCCGCAGAAGCGGAAGCAACAGTGCCTGTAGAATCGTCACGTCGTTTGTACAATTGAACCTTATTGCGTGGGGGACCCCTGGGGTCCCATAAGCCCCCGGCACGCGCGTAAACATTATAATGTAAACAAAAACTTTGTTCTTTTTCACCAACGGGTTTGAAGGATGGTGGAAAGTTTGTCTTGTTAAACTATGCCTTTAAAACTGAAAACTACTTACTTGCAGTACCTGTATTTAAATATACTATCGAAAAAAATATTTAGACCCCTCTGTCAATCATCGTGTTTCTCAGTGTGGATTTGTGAACACACTTTGTAAACAGTACATAAAATAGTATGCGTTTTCAATGCGTTGTTCATATTGTAACAAGCGTTTATACCAATGTTACTCTACAGAGTAGTGGGTCGCCGCCACTCTTATCCGCATTGATACGAGCGGTATGTTGGGACTATGGCTTAACTGCAAAAAAAACATCTACACATGCATACGGACAAGAGAAGTATTATCAAACAGGAGGAATTAACGGTGCAACGCATCTCATCTCTTAAAGATCTGCAGGTAATAGGATTGTCATCGATTGATCCTGGCTGCAGACATTGGTAGGTCACAATAATGAAGATAAGAGAGCAGTTTCACTGTATTACGCATACTATTATGACTAATTAAGGACTTAAGTTGTGTAGGAAGTATGATCAGCTTTGGATAAGACTTATGATTCTGCCTATACCCGAGCATGGAGTGCATTCGCTTGTTGAGCTCTTCTGCGCATTCGTCCTCGCTGCGCTTGAACGACCATGACAGTAGAATGATCCGCGCCAGGTAGATCGCGGCGTTTAGGTGCGCGGTGGGACAGTCGCCAAAAAATAATTAATGATTTACGATTTTACTTCCGTTTTTCCGGGGCCCTGCTATAAGGTTCAATTGGTATTCGCACAAATCTTATCTGTGGAAGGCTATCACGAAGGTGCTACGTTTCACAGATGAGTACAGTCTGCAGTAGTTTCACACTTGGGTGATGTTACCTTGCGGCTTACTAATTACCATCCTTTGTGGGCCAGACGGCTGGCCTCCACAACAAGCGGTAAGTTTGGTACCACTCAGCCATGTAAACAATGCACTTGAGTAATGAATACTTTGTTTAGCCATAAATGCCTCGCTCATCCTTAACACACATTTTACGATGATCCGGATTTGAGATTTTGGTCATTGCCGACCGGTGGTTTTCTTTTCCCCACATAGGAATAAAATGGAGTCCCTTGAGAAAACTCATGTTTATGAAATAGCACATTCAAACACAATGCAGATTAATTAGTAGGCACGTCAGAATGCATTAATTCATCAATTAGAATAGATAGTTTTTTCTGCTTACGATATATGAACCTTTATGGTGGTACCCCGGGGTTCCATAGTACCCCGGCTCTCGCTTAATGACCGCGATGCAGTCATTTTTAGTCTGCTGATGGTCGGTGATGCGGCAATCGACTCATCTCGACGAGCTGTACACGATGCACTATTCAAAGTTTAATTTTTCGATAACGGATTTTTTATGCTGATGTTTGGCGTTTCAACATCGTGTAGTAGCACTGATTTCGGATTGATTGGTACCCCAGTCGCGGAGTTAAGTACACCCCTGGAAAAAATAGTGTTCCATAAATAAAGTATTTAATTGCCTCGGCCATTTTTTATTATTTGGTACCCTGGGGTAACGCCATAAGGATCATATGCCTCGATTTGCGTGAGTAATAATTGCCGTCATGCAAAATATGTCCTCTTGATATGCTTATGCAATATTTAGGCAAATGGAGTGAACAAGAATGTACTATTGAGACAAAAACAAGTCACAAGACAAGAATCGTGAAACTGAATCGTGGTGATTCATCAAATCATTTGGCCAGTGGCGGTCTACGTTTGAACATGTCAATAAATTATCCTGTAGGCATTATTTGCCTTTCAGCTGCACGTGTCACACAATTCTCATCAGTAGATGAACCACTAGTAGCACCTCTAAGTAGCTGGATTGCAGTTGTGCGTCACGTCACTTGGCATTAAACTGTTAGTAGCAACGTCCTTCTCGGTGGCTTTGTTTGAGTTCACCCTCTGGTGGTGGCCAATGTGCAGAATAAAAATAAGCGATTGGTGTGTCATTTTTGTCTTGCAGTAGTTAGTTGTGAAATGTATCAAATAAGGAGAATCTGAAACCTCATCGTCATTCTTCCAGGGTCAGCTATATGGTGTCACAATTGTATATAGATATGTTTAATGACTTCGCTTTTGAGCCTAACCATGTTTGAACAACTCCTACAGAGGCCGATTACATAGTGCATAGTTCATGCATTCAAATTGCTTGAGTAATAAATTGTTTTAATCTCCTCGCACACCATCGATGATTGTTCACTTTTTCCAGATATAAATAGCAATGTATTCATCCGCAAAATTGCACACCGTGACGCTTGAGCTTGGAAAGTACTGGCTACCACAAATCTCCATAACTCGTCTTTTACCCATCCAAGGACGGGTGTATTGCAATAAATGTGAAACTTGCAAGCGAAAATCAGACCGCGACGTGATATGCATTGCATCAATGCGTGTGCAATTAGTAAGGGCGCGGTGGCACAGACCTATTTAAGGTTATAATCCCTTATTCATCACGACGTCCTTTTTACTTTGATGTCTCAATAGCGTGACGGAGATCGCGTGACGTGAGGGTTCTGCCTTTGTAGTGAGGGTTGTGAGTTGATGCCGAGGAGGGGGGAGGAGGCGCCTCGCCCCCCTATGTGGAGTGACGTCGGGCGCTAATTATTATGAATGGGGGGGGGGGTGTCCATGTGGAGGACGTCACCTTATAATGATTATTAATGAGGGGGGCTGTTTGATGTGGAGTGAAGTCACCTGCTCATTATTATTAATGGGGGGCGGGTGCTCCATGTGGAGTGACGTCACCTGCTCATGATTACTAATAAGGGGTGGGGGGGTCCATGTGGAGGACCGAACCTGTTCATGATTATTAATGAGGGGGGCTGGTCAATGTGGAGTGACGTCACGAGTGTTAAGGACAGACATTCCTGGGTGATGATAGTAGGTATGATGTGTTACACTGGCAGGGCTTCTGGATAGTGATTTGCACATTGCTTTGGTGGTTTGCGAGTGGAACGATTCAGGCTTCTTATGTCCCCACTGCTGAATTTTGTAAATCTGGGCCATGATTTGAGAATAGATTATTTTTTTAATTAACATTGTGAATGTAGCAGTGGGTGTGACCTGAATCCATTACATACACCGTCTACATATACCAATTGAAAAACATGACTTATTACAGTTAACACATGTATCATGAGCCTGAGGAATCAAGATTAATCGATGAGCAGATGCAGTGGTAGCAGTTGTTACACTAGTGTGTGATTTCAGAGGTCTTGGTTTTTATATAAACATCATAACAGTGTTGTAACTTGTGGGACATTTAGGGCTAGTGTTATGAGAGCCAGATTTTGATACTTTAATTACAATTATTTTTAAATATATATTTAAAGTGAAATAATTATTTTTTACAAAAGTTATGAACATTTTATAATTGAAGGTGATATTTAGCATGCAGTAGAAATGCACATATGACTATTATAATAGCATCACCGAGTCACTCGCATTACCCTTAGGGAACACTTCCACGCTGGGCACCTTCAAGAATCAAATCACTGCGTGCGGACTGGCTCTGTTGCGAACGCAGGAACAGTTTGGTCTTTGCGTGAATCTCTCTCGTTGTGCACGCTGCAGGTGTACCACACAGACACGGGGCACTTTCTGTGCCGGAACAAGTACTACGGACGGGGGCTGTCCGAGGAGGGCTTCCGCGAAACCCTCTTCCAGTTCCTGTTCAACGGGCGCCACCTCCGTTGCGACCTCCTTGATCCCATAATCGCGAAGCTGCACACGCTCAAGGCCGTGCTGGAGCGGCAGGTGTCCTACCGCTTCTACTCCAGCTCGCTGCTCATCATCTACGACGGAAAGGAGCGCAAGGTCGAGTTGCGGCGCCAGCTTTTGGAAGCGACAGGGCAGGGGAACCAGCGGGACGTCGCTGTCGCGACCACCACCGCGGGCGGAGGCGGCGGTGCCGGCGGGAACGGAGGCGGCCTCAACACCAAGGTGGACGTTCGCATGATCGACTTTGCGCACTCCACCTTCAAGGGTTTTCGCGACGACCAGACCATCCACGACGGGCACGACCGCGGCTACGTGTTTGGCCTGGAGAGCCTGCTCAAGATCCTGACGGAGATCAGGGATGAGAACGCCTGATGGGCCGAGCACCTCGACCCCCCCCCCCCCCGTCCACTGGGGCGGGGGACAGCGCTTCGTCTGTCGTCTTGGCAGAGCCAACGGCAGTCGTCTTGAGCACGCGAAGCAATTGTACGTTTTGTCAGTCTGCACCACGGCCCTGTCTGCTGAACGCTGTCTTTGTCAAGCCGGCGGGCGCACAGTAGTTGTGTAATCGTCATCCTCGACCCTGAGTGTGTATTTGCACGTTGAGCACTTGTGCGATGGCAGCGTAAGGACTCCCGTGGGGGATAATTATTTTCTTTCCGCAAGATGTCTTCAGTTGAAATTTGAGCACGTTGAGTTTGTCATTGGGTATCAACAGGGTTTCAATAGCTACAGACAGGTGACTAAAAAAGACAAAAATGAAACAAATAAAATGTTAAAATATTTAAAATATTCCATCTATTCACGTCATGAAAACATTTCTTTGGTTTGCTGTTTGTAATGCCTGGATTTTTATTGTGATGCCCACATCTTTGATTTTATGACGTGCCCAGACACTTGAAATGCTGGCATTTATGGATTCCAAGTTGACAATTTTTTCACTTTGTCTCACTGAAGCAAATGTGTTTCAGGAAACTTTCACTCAGGACCTCCGATTAGCACGGTTGGCTACGTACGGTGCGAAAGAAGTTCAACATACATATATAGCTGAATGCGTGTGAAAGTATTTTTGACATGTTTGAAAGGCCAGAAACAATGTGTGTTAGGAGGCTGTAACAATCCTTGCAGGCCAGGAAGCAGGGGACTTCATCACCAACTTTATTACCCAATTAATTGTGTAATAGAAATTGGCAGAATTACAATACTAACTTTGTTTGGTTTGGATATTCACTTGGTCATTTGCCAATGTGGTTTGATACATACAAACAAGTGGAATATCCTTGGGTATATGCTGCAAGAATGCTGGATAGGTACGAACTACTATTTTGGAGACAGGAACTAATCACTAGCCATGCATTTTAATACAACATTTTGCTAAAGATGATTTGCCTGCATACCAATATAAAATGGCAAGTACACGGGTATTATAAGGACTGATGGAGCTTTCTGGAATTGACTGGAATCGTTACCAAGATAACTTACATCATCAAAAGCCCCAATGGGTTTTGTGAAAATAATTAGGCGGCAAAATATAACGACATAATAACTATAACATTGGCACAGCAAAGTGTTAATAGTGTAAAATTGGTCGGTCTGCAATAAAAATACCTTTAAATTGCCAAATGTTTTCAAAATTATTGCGTACTTAGACATTAAATATCATTTAATAACAAGCATTTTTAAATCAAGTAATTCACAGGACCTTGTATTGAACTGTGTACATGTTTGTGTAATTTTCAAGAAAGTATGAACCATCCCAAAATGTCCTGAAGACAAGGCTAAGTATAAACAAAATTCATGCATTTGTGATCTGTGAAGATATACACATTCAATGTTGTGAGAATTGTGAACCGTACAAAATGGAAATTACAACACGGTCCTAATTGGATACAATAGGGCAAAGTATTGCTATGCACCTATTGATCTGTGCTTTGTTCTCACAAAGGTCAGCGCTGCAGTGTTACTTGTGGTTCGTGCTGTCCCCCTGCCCTTTGCATGTCGGGATTCTCGTGGACCCACTCGTTTTTATGATCTGCCTGTTCTTGGTAATTTTGTTATCCTAAAATTATATTAGCATTAGATTTGCATAAATATCAATCTTGGTTTTACATTCATTATTGAAATCATATTAGTGCAACATGTTTTTAATTATTTTTATGTCTAGTCTGCACAACTTTGGCTGAAATACTACACGATATTTGGGAATACAGGCAACAGGATTTTTCTGTAGTTCTTGACCAGCTTTTTCCCATTGAAGGATATAAATGTGTGGATTTTTAAGGACATTCTCTGATCTCTTTTGAATTTCTGGATCCTGTACCTTGTTTTGTATTTGTATCTTCACAGCCACACAAAGTTATTTCACTCAACGCTGGTGGCAGTTGGCAGAAGTGACACCTTGGTGTCATCACTTTACGTTTTGGAATCATAATAAAAACTCGATCACCTGAAATTTTCTATCTATGCCCCTAAAAATCTAGGGTTTTTCCATCTTCTAAAATTATAAGCACATCCCCATTATGCATATCCATAATAACTACCATGGACAACACTCGCAAATTTTTTTTTTTCCATGTGAGTACCTTTCCACTTGGCATAAAAACAATATTTGTTGCATTTCCCCAAATATTTGCAGCACCGATGGGAATGACCTTCGAATTCGCGGTTGTGTTATCTGTCAAGCAATTAAAAGTAATACACTTTAAATTAACTGAAGAGTTTCAGTAACCTTTACCCAAAAGATTATTTCTATTTGAAGGCATGTCGTCTTTTGTTACTGCCAAATGTTTATTCAGCTGCAAAAATGGCAGTGTTAGCCCTGGCCAATTTCATTAAATACATCTTATAAACTATTATTTTGGTCTTTCGGTAAAGCCACGTAGATAGAAAAAAATATCAAAATAATAACAATATCAGGACGTTTCGATCGCAACACAAGCAAACTGTATTGAAACTCATCTGTAAACATTTAGCTCCACGTTACCAATCAAAGCACTAGAAGAAGGTGTCTGATTTTTTGATTTAAAGCTTTCGTGACTGCAGATTCATATTCTTGGTTCTTTCAGTAAGTCACGTAGAAGGGAAACAATAGAATAATAAAAAAAATGAAACAATAAATTATCACGACGTTTCGACTGCAACACAAGCAATCATCATCAGGTGTGAAAACCACAACAAGAAAATTTGAAAAAAGTGGCGTTTTTTTTAAAAACGTCATGAGAATTTTATTGTTTTATGTTTTTTATTTATTTTATATTTTATTGTTTCCCTTCTACGTGACTTTACCGAAAACCAAGAATAAGGTGTCTGATGTCAAAATGTGTTGATCGTTACTACAGATGAGGTTTACCAAACATTGTTTTCCTTTGTACCAGCTTAGCCTTGCGCTGCACCGATGATTTTGAAGAGACATCTATGGACATAACAGTATTTTGTTATACATTTAGCTAACATATCTGGCTTGTAAATTTAATGGTTTCCAAATTAATGTCTCCTTTGGCAATGCATGACTTCTCCAATAATTTTTTTACCAGTTGTTAACCGCAGCCCAAGTGTTATTCTGGCAGATTGCTTAAAACATTAGTTTCGCTTTACAGATTAGAACGTTGATAGGTGTTAAAAACAATGAATCTCGCCATTGTCATGAACACTACATTTTAATTGTAAAGTTTCTGGCATTGTTCCTTCTTGAGGGCTGTTGCCCGAATTATGAGCTGTGTGTTATTACTTTCAATTGCAAGGCAGTGTTAATTGTGTGTTGTGCTCTCCGCGTGTACGTATACACCACTGCCATCATAGTCAAGTTTATTTTGATGCAATTATTGACACCGTTTCTAAATGTATGCAGACAGCTGCCCATTAACTGTTTGGCATATTTGTTTAATGCAACAGAGATGCTCTTTTCTGATTGTTATGGAAGTCTCAACCCGCTGGTGAAGTGTTGAGCATCTTCACGGAGCGTCATGTCACCGCACACATTTCCGTTGTCTAGTACTGTACTTGGCAAGTATAACAGTATGCACCAGTGTGGGTGATGTGGTTATTGTAAGCAATATCATATTAGCTGTTCTTGTGAACTAGCAGTGCAACACATTTGTCATGCTCAGGAATAACTAACAAGTCATAATAAGTGTATCTGATTGACAGCTTTAAGCACCTGCCCATTGGTGGTAGATGGAGGTTCAGGTATTAATTTACTTTTTATGACATTGCTGGACCTTAATTAAAATCTGAAGATACCTTGATCATTGTCCACCTTGATCATTGTAAATTCACAATTTCACTCTGGATGGGTGTTGTTTGAATAAAAAAATAGGCATCTGTATAAATACAGATTGTGCTATGGCCATATGTAAATGTTCTGGTTCATATGCACTTTTTCACTGAAATGCTAATATGCAGATGTTGGAGTGGCTGTACAATGTGTGGGGTAGTTCATATTGAAGTGGTTTATTTTGATGTAGGAATGATGCAAGTATTTGAATACCCAGTCTGTTATTCGGAGTGAGGTGTGATTAGTTACTGTGTGTTTTCAGTACTGTCATGCTTGAGAGTATTTGCAAGGTACTTTGCACGTGCCAATGCACAAGCTCTCGTTCACCTGCACTAGTATAGTATTTCACAATTGTTTAAACGTTTTACTTTGATCATGCACCTATTAGAAAAGCCTTTAGACAATCGGAATACAAATGAGAATGTCTGCATGACAATGTTAATGTTTAAGTGTGCAGTTCTAGATTTGAAGCTTTCGTGACTGCAAGGATCCATACTCTTTGGTTCTATTCGGTAAAGTCACGTAGGTAAAAAAAATACCTACGTGACTTGACCGAATAGAACCAAAGAGTAAGTGTGCAGTGTTTGTTGCAGGTGTTTGTGAAAAGCAAGCGCATAGCTGCTTTTTTATACTTCAAGCTCACCTGTAGGGAGGGCATTTCATGATAACATCACGGGTTTAGTGTGTAGGGTCGTTATGTTCTCTAAACCATTGAGTTCTAAATGATCCAGTGGCACACGGTTTGTGTCCGACGGTTCACCCAGAGACTGGCACACCAATAAAATTACACGTTCTTTGAAATGCCTAAATAATGGCATTATAACGTGGTGCCTGGGTTAAGCCATTCTGCTTCCCATTAACAGAGATATTACCGAATATATCAATTAACCCTAAGTGTAAAGTTAAATAGCTGAGTTGCAAGCATCTCACACTTCAACCTAGAACGGAATGTTCTTGGTGTACTACTGTCAGTTGAAACAGAACAGACACTTCCCTGTAATACATTAACGCCCCTCTTATGCTTTGACTGCCACTCCCAGCTAAAAAATTACAATTTTTTCGGTTAATGAATAAGCTGATTGAAATTTGGCTGTTAACTTTTCCTCCTCGTGTGCACTTTCTTGGGAACGTTTTCACGCCATGTTGTATGCCACAATGTGTTGATTAATGAAACATATCATGATTGTAATCAAGATTCCCATGCATTCTCATTAACCCAGTTAGATTGTGCCATTATTAAACTATATCATTGGCACGCACTCTACTTTAATTGACCCAACATGAATTGCGCCTGGTAAATATGAAATGTATTATCTCCGATTTGATCGGTTACCTACGTACGGAGCGAAAGAAGTTCAACATCCATACATCCTAACTGGCCACTAGGATAACGCGTCCATTGTGTTTAGAATATCTGCTGCGGTGCTGACAAACCGAAAACGCGTTTAAGTCCATATCAGCTCGCATTGAAGGCGTTAGTGTAAGTCGGCGAATGGTTGACACAATGTGACCTGGTAATTTGATTGGCAAAATTGTAGTGGAGTGCGTTGTACATGTGGCCAATAGCAGTCGGGCCACGTGTCCTCTGCAGGCTTGTTAATTGATTGACTAGTTGCGTTCAAGTGTCTCACTGGATTATTTTCTTATAACACGCACTGTCATGTAGTGTTGCTTTAGATAAGTGTGACATCACTTGTAAGTGTCTAAAAATAATTATGTATTAAGATTAAGCTGAACTTTTTGCTAAAAAAGTCCCTGTTTACAAGGGGTTTTTTTTTACGGTCCAAAGTATGGAAATTATTTGTGTGCTACATTTTCTGGTAAATCAATCATTTTTATATCATCGTTGAAAAGGTGAAATGTTCATTGGATTAAATATATCAACTGCTAAGCGTTAACTGTTGCGTTTTATTAAGAGGTCTTTAAGTAGTTTTTATGCTTTTTTTCCAGGCCAATATGTGCTGTTGAGCTTTACGTAAAAATGTTGTGCACTATTAAATTCCCACTCAATATTCAAGAACATCAGTGTAGAAGGAACCTGTTTATCCTGTAATGGGTAATTTATATTTTTTAATCATATTTCAAAGGGCATTTGAATCATTGTACTGCCAGACACCATTGAGTTGATTTAATTTTAATACGCGAGAAGAACGACGACAATGCCTTGAAGATTTTTTTGGGGCACGTCTTCAACTGAAGTGAAACGTATGCAGTGTTGCAACTTAGGAATACAGTAACTGTGTTTAGTGGTTATGTATATTTCCAATGCGCTTCTTGGCACCACTCAGAGCCTACATCATCGTACGGAATGCGCGATATTTATATCACTCAGAAGACAAGTTGGGTGGGGAAATGTAATGGACCAAGGAAACTACATCCGTATATATATCTAACGTGTTCTACAATGGTGCAGCTTTCTTCACGACCAGGAGAAAACGCTCAAAGTCTGTCGGGAGACTAACGAGAGTACATTTTATTGAATGACTTGAAAATTCTGGAAGATGAGCGTCTGTCTAATGGGCTTGTCAACATGGAGTCACGGCATTCATTTCACCTAACAGTCCTGGCTCTTGAGTCTTGGAGTTGTTACGCTTGCATTTTGCAACTGATTACTTTTGTGCGTGTAATTTCTTCACTTTCCCTTTCGGAATAGATGCGTTCACGTGAATTCGTGGCTTCGTTGGACATTTCATTCTCCACAAGTCGCCCCGAGAGTCGAAACGGATCTGTCGCATTCGGAGTATCAGCAGACGTGTATGTTGTCATCGCTGCTGGGGTGTACTATAAAAATGCAATTAATTCTAAGGAGCGTTTCTCGAATGATTATTGAAAGACGGAAATTAAGTATATACGTGTTTTTTATGCTTTTGGTAAAATCAATTTTAGATGTGTATGATTTCTGAAAATAGTGTTAATTTGATATGTTACGCTCGATGTTTATTGGTTGTAGAAATTGATTGTCAATTACTGTTGAAGCGATGGTGAATCGTAAATCGAGGCCAATCCAACCGGACATCACGTGGCGTAGTGAGCAGCCTCTGTCCGAGCCTCCGTGTTGAGACTGTCTTCTCGTGAGCGTGCCGTGTCGTCTTGGCTTTATGTCAGAGCCCCTTAGAGGGCCACGCAAGGACCAATCTACGAATATCGAGCTGTGGAATGCTTTCATTCTCTTCTCTTCCCGTTGACTCGTTACTCTTAATGGCTCTCGTTTTGACTGGTGTGGTTTATATACCTGATCATTTTACACTCGTGTTACTAAAGTGTTTCCTACAACATACTTTACGATCTAAAAACATTAAGTGCATTGTTACATATTGTTACACTTCCTGTAAGACGAAAGAAAATTATCAGCATCACATTATTGGGGTTAACCTTGCAATTAATTGTAACACACTTGTAAAATATCTGCAAAGTTTAAAACATGAAGTAGCTAATTTCACTTCCTTTAGCCATAGGTACATATTTTTGCAAATATACAGAATATGTATCCCTTGATTAATCTGATAGTACATCTTCCTTAATTTCTCTCGTGTATTTACACACTGATGGTAAACCCCAGAATATTTTACTGCACATTTTTGGCCTATACAAGCGTGTTGTTTATGCAGAACATATCTTGTGTA